TACCTCGGGCACGAGGGAGGGCGAGAAGTCGGCCACGAAGTCTGCCAGAATCCGGGACTTGATGGTCGTTTAGGGTTGATACTCGATATCATACCACCCGAGTTCGATGACCCATTTGGCCAATTGGCCCGACAGTTCGGTTTATACAATATGCTTCAGAGGAGATACGTTGTAAGAACGCAAATATGGTGGCATTGAAAATAAGGTTTCAATTTTCGCGATGCGCTTATTAACGCAAGAGCTAATTTTTCTAGGTGCGGATACCTAGTTTCGGCATCCCCTAGGGTCCTACTTACATAATAAACAGGGAATTACGTACCTTGCTCTTCTCGGACTAGTACACCACTTACTGTTATCTTGGATACAGACAAGTATAGATACAACGTTTCATCCTCCTTTGGCGTGCGAAGCAGAGGTGGGATAGTCAGATATCATTTCAACTCCTCTAAGGCATGTTGGCATTATGGTGTCCATTCGAAGTTGTTTTTACTTTTGAGTAAAGAGAAGAAATGATGACCCCTATCAGATGACATCGATATGAATCTGCCTAGAGCCGTTGTCCGCCCTGTCAGCCGTTGCACAACCTTTACATTATTTATCATCGTGATTTCTTCGATGGCCTTGATTTTGTCGGGGTTAATCTCGATCCCCCTGTTTGATACCATGAAGCCTAAGAATTTGCCCGAACCCACTCCGAAGGCACATTTCTCGGGGTTAAGCTTCATGTTGTAACTTTTGAGGATGTCGAATGTTTCTTACAAATGAGTTAAATGGTCCTCTGCGTGCAGGGACTTAACTAGCATGTCATCAATATAAACTTCCATGGATTTACCTATTTTATGCTCGAACATTTTATTAACTAGATACTGGTACGTAGCCCATGCGTTTTTCAGTCTGAAGGGCATTACATTGTAATAGTAGGTACCATACTTCGTGATGAACGAAGTCTTTTCCCTATTCTCGAGGTTCATCTGGATTTGATTATACCCCGAGTAGGCGTCGAGAAAGGTGAGGGTCTCGTGGCCGGCCGTAGCATCGATCAGACGATCGATGTTAGGCAATGGGAACGAATCCTTGGGACACGCCTTATTTAAGTCTTTATAATCTACGCACATTCTTAACTTATTTCCCTTTTTGGGTACCACTACTACATTGGCCAGTCATTTATGGTTCTTTACCTCTCTAATGGACCCTATTTTAAGGAGTTTCGTTACTTCATCCTTGATGAATGCATGTTTCGTCGCTCAATCAGTGAGAGGTTATTTCCGGCGGGATTCCTGTCATATCTAAGTGGGACCAAGCGAAACAGTCGATGTTATTAATAAGAAATTGAATGAGTTCTTTCCTGAGTTCGGAGGTTAATCTCGTTCCTAGGTGTACCTTCCAATCTGGGAGGTGTTCGATCAAAACAACTTGCTCCATATCTTCAATTGTTGATTTTGTTGCATCCGACTCTTCGGGGGCAACGAAAGTTCGAGGAGCGAGGAAATCTTCTTCATCGTCCTCGGGGGTCTGTACGCTCCCAGACTCATCCGAGGTGGAGCGTATGGGAGTCGGCGTCTCCTGGTAAACCGCGAACATTTCTTTCGCCGCATGCTGTTCTCCGTATATGGTCGTTACACCATCCTTTGTTGGAAATTTTATCATCTGGTGTAGAGTTGATGGCACTGCCCTCATGTTGTGTATCCACGGCCTGCCAAGCAGTGCATTGTACCTCATGTCACCATCGATGGCGTGAAACTTGGTGTTCTGAACCGCACCAGACGTGTCAATCGGGAGGACGATCTCTCCTTTTGTTACTTCGCCGGCCATGTTGAAGCAGTGGAAGACCCGAGAGGCGGGTATGATTTGATCGAGTAACCCAAACTGTTCTACTACCTCTGACCTGATTACGTTAGCCGAGCTGCCTGGATCCACGAGCACATGTTTATCTCGAACGTTGCTTGAAATAAATAAAATTACCAACGCGTCGTTGTGTGGTTCTGCCAAGGTCTCGAGATCCTCTTCGCTGAATGCGAGGGTGTCTTCAGTCACGCAGTCTCGGATCGGCCCTTCTATTACAACAGATATTTTTATCCATTTGATCGTGGGTCCTTGGGGAATGTCGGTCCCTCCGATAATCATATAAACGACATGCCGAAGGATCTCTCTTTTTGCCAAGGTTGGATTTTTTCGAGTTTCCCTCTGACTTTCTCGACACGCTTCTTGGTGACTGCGAAGACCGGTGCTAACGTATTGGGCGTTGTGTGAGGTCGTACCCCTGGAATCAACTCTGGTGCATTCATAGGGTTTTGCGGTGGTACACCGACACCTGGAACATCTATACCCTTTTTTCATGGTTCTCGAGATTGTTATTTACCGAATCAGACATCTTGACCTGAAATTAAAAATCTTGGACAAGAAAAAGCGTGAAAAGTAACTTGTGTTATATAGTAAAACTAGCAAGAAAATAATTACTAATATTTTTAGCCCCACGGTGGACGCCAAACTGTTTACCGCGAAAATGGTAATAATAATTAAATTTGAATATGAGATTCTAAAAATACATGATCTATTTTTATGCTAGTTGCTAGGCAGTTGATACTATGTGAAAGACTTAGAAACTGGATAAGAGTTCAGAACAAGGTGATAACCAAACAGATAGGTAAACAATCAGGGCCTCGGGCTTATCGATTCCGGGGGCCTCGAGGTCGATTCTGATGCTCGGCTGGGAGCTATCGAGGGCAATTGATGGACGACTAACAGTTATAATAAAATCAATAATGGCTATTTATGGCCAATAATAAGCAATAAATGAAGAATAATAATATCAAAAGAACGTGTTAGAGGGTAGAGAGAATGTTCTTGTATATTTAGTATGGAGCAACAACCGTTTACAAAATGGCAAGGACCCCCTTTATATAGGATAGAGGAATCCCAACATAGTACAAACGTATTTATTACAAAGATATGGAGATGGGACCGCTAGTTGATGTTATGATGTGGGCCCAGACTAGCCTGACATACTTTATCGGCTCTAGCTGCACCCCTTGGGAACTCTCCACTTTTCCAATATAGTCGTTGGTCTGCATCGCCTCGAGGTCGAGCGTCGACATCCCTCGAGGGTGAACCTCAACCCTAGTCTTGAACCTTGTGAAATATGTTTACGGGGCATCATAATGACGGAAAATTGGACCCTCCGATTTTACCGTGCACACTCATTAAATTCCTTAAGAATTTTGGTAAACTGTATCAAAAAACATGTAAAATATGAAAACTTTTCCTCTCTTTTCTACACCGTTGCATTGTTTTTCCAAATAAATAAAGTGTCAAGTGTGATTTGCTCCGTTTGTTGAGTTCGCCGAATTTTTGTAATTTCGATTGCTAGTATTATAAAATAGTTATTCTGTTCTATCATGGGAGAAATTAATCCAAAAACTTTGAACAATCGTGAGGGGATTAAATTTCTTAAGGACACACAAACAACTTGTGGGTTCAGAATTATTTTCTATTTTATTTATTGAACTAACGTTTTTATGCTTTTTTGATTTTCTCAGGTATTGTATTCCCTTTTGCTATTATTTGGAACTACTTATCCTTTATCTATCGATTTTCTTTTATCTTCCATCTTTCTTCCTCCCTTGATTTCCTCTTATTCTACTTGCCCTTCCTGAGCCGAGGTTCTATTGGAAACAACCTCTCTACCTGCATTAGGTAAGGGTAAGGCCTGCGTACAGACTACCCTCCTCGGACCCCACTTATTGGGATCAAACTGGGTTTGTTGTTGTTGATTTTCTGTTTTTAAATACAGTTCACCAACAAAATTAACTAGCAAATATTATGTGATACTTATTAGTAATTTTTTTGGTTATGTATCTGATGTCTTGTACATCAAAAAATCTTATATTAGGGGACAAAATGCTTTCTAGCAAATGAATTTCATACTCAATACTTTAATTTAATTTTTTTAATTATGAATAAAAGAGTAGTTATCACTCTGTTAATAGGTCATTTGCTACGTATGATAAGGTGAGATAAAGAATGGAATTAAATTTATATTGTGTTTAGTTGACGATATAAATTTATCCCACGATAAATTTTACCGCCCGTATTAGAGAGCGTTAATATGGCGACCCCAAATAACATATTTAAATAGAAAATAAACAAATCTTATTTTTTAAAAATCCTATTTTGGGTGGATTTAAACTGAATTAGAATTAAGAAATAGGATTTTAGTGATAAGGAATAAATTAAACAAACAAACCATGGATAAATCCAAGCGACCTTTTCTTAAATTCAAGCGATCTTTTCGTAGGCGTTTGCCCCCGATTCAATCGGGGGATCGAATTGATTATAGAAACATGAGTTTAATTAGTCGATTTATTAGTGAACAAGGAAAAATATTATCAAGACGAGTGAATAGATTGACCTTGAAACAACAACGATTAATTACTCTTGCTATAAAACAAGCTCGTATTTTATCTTTGTTTCCCTTTCTCAATAATGAGAAACAATTTGAAAGAACCTTCCTCAAGGACATGGTTCATCACAGTGATGCCAAGGAGGTTACTATTGGGGATGATGGTGTGTTGCGGTCTAATGTGGATGGTTTACTTGAGTTGATTCTTTAGGAGGCCCACAGTTCGCGATACTCCATTCATCCGGGTGCCGCTAGATGTATTAAGACTTGAGACAACACTATTGGTAGACAAATTTAATCCCGGATATCCCACCTTATCCTATCAACTTGTAATTGTTTTATCCCACTTTCCAGGTGGAAAAAATTAGTACAAGAATTATAATTTCAGGACTATAATCCCGGGATAGCCTCTCTACCGGCATAAGGTATGAGTAAGCCTCCCCAAACCCTTATTTGTAAGATACACTAAATTTATTGTTGATGTTATTTTTATTGACTATAATCCCGAAATAATTTAGTCGGCTTATCAAACGTCCCTTATTAAGTTTAAGTTGTAGTATTAAACTCGGAGGGATGAAATATGGGACACTTCTCCTATTTTCCTAAAAGAAAAGAGAAAAAACCAACGCCACCCAATAATTATTGCCATCTTCAATCTTTTTACAGAACCCGAAACAAAAATACAAAAACCCTAACAAAATTTCTTCACAATCTTCCCAAATTTTACCCTCACAATTCCGATTAATTCCCTCCAACTCCTTTTCCTTTTCCCTCCCATGAACTTCCCCTTTCACAAACCCTAAAACCCCAAAAAATCCCCAATTCACACAATGTCGGAGCAGCCAATAATCACTCACGTCTCCGATACAAGTCCATTGAACCGGCCGACGAGCTCCCGATCCGTGACAGAAACTGTAAACGGTTCGCACCGGTTCGTGATCCAGGGGTATTCGTTGGCGAAAGGAATGGGAGTGGGAAAACACATCGCAAGTGATAATTTCACCGTCGGAGGTCATCAGTGGGCGATTTACTTCTATCCGGATGGGAAAAATCCCGAGGATACTTCGACGTACGTGTCGGTTTTTATTGCGCTTGCAAGTGAAGGAACGGATGTTAGGGCTTTGTTTGAGTTGACGCTTGTTGATCAGAGTGGTAAAGGGAAGCATAAGGTTCATAGTCATTTTGATCGGTCGCTTGAGAGTGGGCCTTATACATTGAAATACCGCGGCAGCATGTGGTAATTTTCTTTAACTCCGATAGTTTAGTTTTATTTCGAGGGCGAACCTCGGTACAATGTTTAAAAATTTGAAGCAATTTGTCATTTCTTATGTAATTTGGGTTGAATTTGAAGTTTTCATGCTTTATTGCTGTGTTAGTTGTTTCGTTCTTTTGGTTTATGTCAAAGATTGCTTTTGCAACTGCTATTTATGAGCATTCTGGAAAGTATTAATTACCACTTTAACTCCTGTAATTTAGTTTTAGTTTGAGGGCGAGCCTTCGGGCTATGGTAAATTGGCAGTTGCAAAAAAGGCTACTAGCTGATTTCTGTCTATCTGCCTACGCCTGCCTTGATAGGACAATTACCCGATATTTGTGCTGGTGGGAGATAGCGTGTACCCGGTGGAATAGTCGAGGTGTGTGTAAGCTAGTTTGAACTTAAAAGAAAGAAGAAAAATTGGCAGCATGTTGTGATTTCTTTAACTTATTTAGTTTAGCTTTAAGCATTGAACAAGTTTTCATGCGTTATTGTTGAGTTTACCTGTGTCATTCTATCGATTTATGCAAAAGGCTGAAATTTGTACTGTTGCAAGTGCTATTTATAAGCGTTGTGGAAAGTTTTAAGTCAACTTGTGTTAGTTGGAATTTTGTTCAATCAGTAAGTACGCCTCTATCCTTCTAGCATCTATCCAAAATGATCAAATTCTGCGTTATGTGAAGTTGCATGAGAAATTAGTTGGGATAGGCTATAATTTTGTTTCATTCGGCTTTATTCAGGGTTCAGTATTAAGAGGACCAAGTATAGTTAGATAATTTTATGCTGACTGTCTATCTACTGTAACTCTCCTTTTTATAGCGAGCTTCAGAACAGGCTATGCTTTGGCAAGCTTCCATATGCGGTGTTCGATTGAATTTTTTAAAAGTCAGGAAAATTTGTGTTTAAGTATTAGATGCATTTCTGTAATTTCATGGTGGACACTGATAATGTGTGCAGACTTTCTGTTGTAAGTAAAGCTGAGCACGTTAGTTTGTTTTTGCTTTTCTCTGTCTGAGAGGAAATTGCAATTATCTTGATAAGTAACAGTATGATTTTACTGGATATGTCTAGCCAAAATGTGGGTGATGGGCAGAATTTGAGGACCCGGTGCATATTTAATTCTGACATGAAGACATTATGGGGTTGGAAAGGGAAGAGCTGTAAGGCTAATAGAACTTTATTATGATTTGAAACTTCTTTTTCTTCCTTTAAATATTATATAACAAGTTCTGCTTAGTTATATAATTGGAATACAACCTTACCTTAATGTTTAAGCAGCATGTTGGATGCTTCGTTTGATATACCGATTTGATCTGAGCTCTTGGAAGACTGGTATGATTCAATTTAACATTTTGTTCGTTCGGGTTTATTGTGTCGTGGCTCTATAATTTGGATTGATTTCATTTTATCTAGTTCACTTGTACTGGATTTACGGAGCCTGCTTATATACAACATTATTCGGACTATTTGTAGATGGAGCTTCGATAACAGTTAGGTCTAGAGGGAAGTTGTGAGCATTACATTCATGCATAACTTCCATACCAAGGTTTTTCTATTCCAAGGCGGGAAGTTTCATTTTCCCCATAGACCTATTTGCATAATTCAATTAAAAAATTAAAAAATTCTATATTTCCATTGTATTTCCTAATTTAATTGAGCTGCTTCATCGTCTGTTATTTCCAAGCTATACATGACTGGTTAAAGGATGAAAAACAAGGACTAGAAGAGAAAGGAGCAGTTGGGGCAAAAACCTTGATATGGGTACTACACTAATCAGTAACAATGAGATGCATGTTGTGCTCTAGTGCTCTCTGTGTTTCCCTTAGGCATATAAAACATTCATTTAACAATATCCAACAAGATAAGTTGGTTTTATTTTAATTTTCTGTTCATGTTTTTATCGTCTTGTTCAATTTTTATTGTCCTTATAAACACACACACACACATATATATATGATTGTATTACCAATATATGTTTATACTCTTATTGTGGTGTGGTGTAAATGTTTGTGGGATGAATCACATATGTGTTGATAGGAGGGCCACATTAGCAGTGAAAGTTGAAACGTCAGTTACTATAATTAATAATAATTGTGAAAACATCAACAACAACAACAACGAACCCAATGTTATCTCACAAGTGGGGTATGGGGAGGATAGTGTGAACGCAGACCTTACCCCTATCTTGTGAAGGATTAATTGTAAAGACATAGTTTAATAAATAAAAGTATCTCCTCTTAAAAGCTTATGTTTTTACATGAAATGTTTCGCGCATCAACATGGTAAGCGCGTTCATTCTCGTAAGTGCATATCAAGTCCACATTTGAACTCCAAAATTCGACTTACACGTGTGGGGAGATGTTGATATGTATACAACCCCCACATTGGTTGTAAAGGGCATCCAAAATGTTCTATAAGGGTCTTGTGTTACTTCATCCATTGTCATATATTAAATAAGCAAAAAGAATCTGACTCATAAGTGAGAGAGTGTTTGAAGGGTCAACTAGAGACACTCTCACAAACTTGATGTTTTTGATGATGCGGGTTCTCTTCTTATTAGAATGTCTCACATTGGTTCCAAGAATGAGTCATTGTCTTCTTATATGGTCTTCGACAATCCGTCTTTTCTTCGGCAATCCTTCGTATATGGTCTTCTTAGAATGTTTCACATTGGTTGGGTAATATAATTTTATTGATGTTAGTCTTCGGTAATGCTAATTTTATGAGCTAGCTTTTTGGGTTAAATTAGGCCCAATGTCCATATTTTTTTTTAATATGGTATAACAGCTAGACCCATTCCAATTCTTAGTTTACCCAATTTGGGTCCCCATTTTACATATTTCATGCTCTAAATGTCTAGGCCTAGGTTTGTTGGGGGTTGTTAGAATGTCCCACATTGGTTGACGAAATGGGATGTCTCCTTAGACAATCCTCATTTCACGAGCTAACTTTTGAAGTTGAGTTAGTCCTATTTTTTAACTCAGCTCAAGGTGAACAGCCTTTTAAAGTAATTTGGATAAAGTGATCTGCTCAAGTATTTAACTGTTTTGATACATCATGAGGGTCTTTTCTGTTACCAAAGTTGCCCTATGCATGTAGTAGTTGATGCTTGCTGAGCACTGGCTACATAAATTGAGAAATATTACATGAGCCATATGTATAATGTTATATAACAGTAAAAAAAATATAATATAACAGTCGCTTGGATAATTGATACAAGAAGAAATGAATGGGAGGTAGAATGCTTGAATGTAGTCAAACCTGATCATCAAGGTGCACAGCACTAATTATCCTCTATATAATAAATCAAGACGTTGGCAGTTATCAAAATTTTGAGACATCTTATTTAGTCAGACATTATTTGTGGGCGATATTTGGTACTTGCTAACAAGTGGTGCATCTCCTTGATGGCACATGCTCTATTGTTAGGTTTTTTCCTTTCTTGAATTTTTTGATTCCTTGTCATGGCATTAATGTGAAAAAAAAAATACAAACTAGAACTAGTATCTAGGAGACCGTAATGGAACTTTATTTTTCCTTTTACTTTAAGCTTGATATGGTCTTTTACAACTGAAGATAAAAAAATTTATACTTGTTTATCTGTGTGGTATGCAGGGGCTACAAACGTTTCTTTAGACGAGCGATGCTTGAAACTTCAGATTTTCTCAAGGATGACTGTTTGAAAATCAATTGCACTGTTGGAGTTGTTCGATCTACGATTGACTGTTCGAGCTTACATCCAATCCAGGTTCCAGATTCTGATATTGGATCACACTTTGGCATGCTATTGGAAAATATGGAAGGCTCTGATGTTGTTTTCAGTGTGGCTGATGAAAAATTTCATGCCCATAAGCTGGTATTGGCTGCTCGTTCTTCTGTATTCCGCACTGAATTTTTTGATGAACTGGAGGGTGATAAGCAGGAGATTGTTGTCGCCGATATGGAACCCACTGTCTTCAAAGTGAGCATCAACATCTTTTTCTTTTTTTACTTATTTTAATCAATTTATTTTAAATTAGGTTTTCTTGTGCTGTCGAAGTAGACGATATTTTTCATTGCTTCAGATAGTGGCATTTTTTTCCATCTCTCTTGCTGTATTTGTTTCTCCAAAGTAACTTTTGTTTTTTTGGCAGAAAAGATTAAAATTCTCTTGAACAAAAAAATGAGATTCTCGCTCTCGCCTTCTTTGATATATCCTATTCTTGTGGCATGAAACAGGCTATGTTGCACTTCATATACAGAGATTCTCTTGTAGAAGAAGAGTTAGAAGATACTAGTTCTTCTTCTATTCCTTCTGTGACTGATACATTGACAGCAAAACTGCTAGCAGCAGCCGATCGGTATGATTTAACAAGACTCAGGCGGGTGTGTGAATCTCATCTTTGCAAAGATATTTCCGTGAACTCTGTTTCCAGAACTCTTGCTTTAGCTGATTGTTACCATGCCACAGAACTCAAAGCAGTCTGCCTTAGATTTGCTGCTGAAAATCTTGCAGGTATGAGAGATGTTATTTGTTGCAACTTGTCCATACACTACAGTGACTTCTGCAGAGTGTCCTGAACTGCTTAACTGAAACTTGTGCATTTTTCCTTGTCTTGGATTGAAACAAAATGAAAATTAATAATTGTTTAGCAAGAACCTTGTATATGTGGCCTTGTCCTTGGTGTTTTCTTTTTTGGGGGCGGTGGGCGGTAGGTTGTTTGTCATCTTTTTTGCTCCTTTGGAGCAGCTGTGAAGTAAAGTAGACTTTTAGGCTTGTAGCATGTTCAGAGTATCTATTGAATCTATCTTTGTCTGTATAGTTAACCATTTTCCATGTCCGTCCTTTTGCTGAATGTCTTGCCTCTTCTCTTCTCCAAAACATGTTTAGTAGGAGTTATGCTTCTTTACTGAAGCTGTCAATATATTTTATGTCTGATAGGACATAAACTGAGCAAAGAAGATAAGTCTTTCTTCTTTTGCTGGGAATACTCTCCTTTTTCTTTTTTTATTCTCATGGAAAATACTGAAAATCCAAAAGTGCAGCCCTCAGGGGGGTTAAGAGTGTTCTGCTCCGAACTTTACCAAATTGAAGCTGCTTTTGATATCTTAAACCACGACAATAAACAGAGCAGATGCCTCATTCCCAGCTACTTGGGTTGGTTATATGCATGCTAACTATCCACCTCGCTCTATTTGGACCCATTTCATTCCTATGTTCATTAACTTGGGATTCTCTCCCACTAGTGTTTCTCTAGAGATATTTTTATCAAGGAGTTAGACTTTGGTATAAAGGACTTCTTTCTATAAGTATTCCTCTGTCTTTACCTCTTTGGTTTTCTTCACTGCCTCCCTTTTTCTTACAAACACAAAGAAGCTGCATGTCATCCTAGGCCATATATCTGATCAGTACCTCTAAGACAATGTAACAAGCCCATAATAAAAAAGTATCTATAATCTCCGACCTATTCACTTCTTTTTTTATGACGGTGGTGCCCGGGCCAGCTTGCGCGCACTTCGACTAATTCCACGGGGTACCTTCTACCTCCCACCAACACAAGTACGGGTAACTCTGTTCACCAAGGCTTGTACAGATAGGGTGAAATCACCTAGTATTTTTGCCTCCGCCGTAACTTGAACCTGAGAACTCATGTTTCTCAACCCACTTAACCATTATCCATTTTCTATGAGATCTAGAAATCCAGAGATGGGAAGCAATGGATCACTATCCTGACCTGGTGAAGGATGGAAAATTGTTGTAACTGGTGCTTGTGAATTTGGCATGGACATCTTTGCCACTGATGTTATTGATGCCGAATTCAATTCCCTTGAACACAAGTTCGCCTGACGGTGACTTCAACAGAACGTCTATGGATCCATTAATCTCCTTTTGTTGCACCAGCAAGGCTACATGCAACCATGCACCTCAAGTCTTAAGCCACACACCACACAGCACCAAAAGAAGTCTGATTTAACTGTCAAACTCCAATTTCCATTGTTCTGTCTGATAGCTTGCTTTTTCTTCTAGAGCTGTTAATGGATGCATCATGGAATCCACTCAAGTGAAAATGAATTCCTACTTTGGAATTCAAATGAGTTTTCTGCATATGAACATAAAATTACAATAAGATTTTCTCTGAAGTGAAAGAAGTATTGTACTTAGCCATGCCGCTGTAAACTCTTAAAACAGAAAGCGTCTATACTTAGTGACAGTCTGCTATTAACTTAATCACACTTTGATTTTATTTGACTATGAGGGACAAACTTGAAGAATTAGATCCTATGAAGCTCTGTCTACCATACACATGTTTCGATTATTAGATGACTGCAATATATGTGTCAAGTAGTCCCCTTTTTTGGTGCTCATATTTGGTTTGTAACGGTGTATGCCTCTTTTGAAGATTCTAACTTCAGAAATTACATGAGTAAATTGAAAAGTGATCTAAAATGGTATGAGAAATGTTTTCTTCCTGGAATTAAATGAAAAAATGTTTCTCACTAGTGAGTGCTCTCAGATGGAATATTTATTCTGAAATGGCTATTAATTTATAGTGACTGATATACATGTATGTATTTGGTAGTTGTGTCAGTTGTGATGCTGTAAATGGGTGTACTATAAAGTTAACCCCGCGTAAAGTAGATTCCAATTAATGAAATTTAACTACCTTTCTGGAAAGAGACAGAAAATTATGTACTTCCCTAGAAGTTGAAAAAAATTCTTTTACCACCAAAGAGGCTCTAACTCCCACGTCCTAAATTTTGGAATTCACCAAGTTAGGGCATTTCAAATGTGTGTCAAAGACACAAGAAAAAATTACAGACCTATGTGACTTTTCATTTTTCTGGTATTGTGTGCTTTTGGTAGGGACCATTTATTGCTGAAATTGATTGAGAATTTGGGTTTGGTGAATAAACTGAAAATGATGAAGAGAATGAGATAATTTGCTGAAATTGTAAACACGTTCTATCAAATGGGAAGAAGTCTCACTAAGTCATGTTACCAAGTGAGATACTGCTATAGAACTGATCCAAAAGGTAAAAAAATAACATAGTGCTATAGCCCCCACGACTATGGTCTAGTGGTAAGAGCGTGGCGCGTGTTGTGTGGGTTAGTCGCATACTTCACATACTCAAAGGTTCAAACCCTGTTGCAAACTAAAACCTAGTCTTTAATTGGAGAAGAGTGGAGGAGCCGGCTCATTATCCATCGAGTTTCGAACCATACGCGACTAGCCCTCGGGGATTTCTCAATTATCAAAAACAAAAGAGACATTGCACATATCCCTTTGGATGTCCAAATGTCTCGAGCATTTTGTTTGATGAGTTGCTGCTCCATTCGGGAGTTTGGCTTCGGCTTCTTTAACTAGCAGCAGAGTGCATTTTGGGACCTTTCTATGTTAAAAACTATGATAGACATGGAAATCTGCAGGTGTTTTTTTGTATGCTTGCTTTGCATTGTAGCGTTCTCTCATCTATTAGTTGGCATGTTTTCGCAGCTGTCATGCAATCGGATGGATTTGAATACCTTAAAGAAAACTGCCCCTCTCTTCAGTCAGAGCTTCTTAAAACCGTTGCTGGTTGTGATGATGATTGTAGCAGTGGAGGTGGAAAGTCTAGAAGCGTTTGGGCCCAGCTTTCAGACGGTGGTGATACCAATGGCAGGAGGGTAAGGCAACGGACCTGATTTTAGGTAGAAAACCCCGATGTTGTTCTGTATATTGGAGGACAGTGTTTGAAAATGTTGATAGGAAGGTAAAATTGTACCATAGTTTCTGAAATATCGATGATTAGTCTGTTTGTAATACCAGTATCCTGGAAGTTGCTGCGTACTGAGTTTTTTTACCTTCAAACTGACACCAAGTTGGGTTGTCAGTAGGCTATTCAGGGTAAGACTTGATCCCAGAAAGCCATTACCTTTGCTTTTGCCAATATAACCTTGTAACTTTCCCCTAATCGGAGGATACTGTTGTTTGTAATTCACACGTGCTGCTCTGTAGAAAAAGGATGCTGTCTTTTGAATTTTTATTGCATATTGTCTAAGCTGGCAACGGACCGTTGCTCGGGAATTTTGTAAAACTCTTTCATAGTTTGAAAATTTTACTGGTTGTGTTCTTTACATTCATTGTAAAGACAGGAGTGGTTGATATAGGGAGAAATGCTTTGCTTTTTCTGTTGATTTTGAGTTGAGGCGCAGTTGTTGCCCGTTTCTTTTTGTTCCAATCTGTTTGAATCACTGAAATAGTTATTTCAGTCTTTGAGTTGTTGCTTTATTCCAATTTTGGTTCTTGTGTTATTTTACATTTAACCTTCAATTTATCAAATGTGTGATTTTGGTCTTTGAACCTAATGGAAGGTGAAACTATAACGAAACCATTATTAAAAACTGAAAATAAAAGAAAATCAGAGATTTTGAACTTCTCCGAATGTTAATTCAATGCAATGAATTTGGTAGGCTTAGTAGGATATATAAAGGGGAGAAATTCAAAACTAGCAAGATTTACAACCGGTCGTTCAAAAATAGTCCAGTTTCAAAAGTAATTGAAATTTAGTCACTTTTCATGTAAAGATAAATCTGAGCGAAAACATTGTTCAAAACTCGGAAAATATGCTATATTATACTGGAGTTTCAGCATAAGTATGCTTGAACTCCAGTATAATATACTGGAGTTCCAGCTAGTATAATTGTCCAGTATAATATACTGGAGTTTGGAGCACCGGTGCTCCAATCTCCAGTATATTATACTGGAGTCAGCAAAGTATACCGGTCCAGCATAATATGCTGGAGTTCATACACATGTGCATCGAACTCCAGTATATTATGCTAGACCGGTCTCTGTTGCAGTAAAATAGTGGCTATTTTTCATTAACTTCTTAAACACTGGCTATTTTTGAATGACCAGTTCGAAAACTGGCTATACCGTGCTATTTTTACTATATAAAGACTACCTGCAGGCATTATTTACATTAAACAAAATAGTTTAATTTGAGCAGTTAAAATTAAATTAAAAATACGTATCATTTAATCAAATGTGTATATGAAAGAACATATATCTTGCATTCATTCTTTGGTTTAAATACTGTAACGGCAAAATGTGGATTATATATATTTACCGGTTCAAATTCTGCTATAGATAAAAGTTTAGTATTTAAGTTGAGATGTTAAATTTTTATTTTTATTTTTTGGTGCGCGCCTGAAGTGGACTTTGTATAGCTTGAATCAAGATTGTACCCTCATTTGGATCAATTATTCCTCAAACTAGGATTACAAGATCAAAACTTCTCCTTCATAAAGTGCCAATAAATATTACTTCAAATAACACAAGAGATGTAATTTCTATGTGAGAAACAAATAGCCAATGAGTTTCTTTCTTTTTATTTTTTCCTCAATAGAGTGGATAGCTAAAATAGCAGATTAGTTTTCCTCCAAAGTGCCAACAAATGTTACTTCAAAGTTTCATAGTCCTCTAGTTCAATTTCTCTGAAGTTAAAGGGGTTAACCATGAATAAATAAAGATCAAATCCAGAATTTTTATGCATTTATTGTTAAAATATGGCCCTTGACAGGGAATTATGGAGGTCGAGCATTAAAGTTGTAGGTTAAGGGGAAAGTTGTGAATATTTCTACAGCACAATAGAGTGAGACTAGCCAGTTAGGGGTTAGACTAAGAATGTCATTGGTCGGCTATTGATGCAGGGTTTTACCTGCTAGTTTTACTATACCAGCTATCTATTTCGTATTTTGTATTCTGTATTTCATATCTCTTATATTGCTGTTATTTTATTATGCATTTTTATGGCACTAATATATCGGCTCCTGTTGCTTTTTTGAGCCGAGGGTCTCCTGGAAACAGCCTCTCTACCCTTCGGGGTAGGGGTAAGGTCTGCGTACATATTACCCTCCCCAGACCCCACTTGTGGGATTATACTGGGTCGTTGTTGTTGTTGTTGTTGTTGTTGTTGTTGTTGTTGTTAAAATAAGAGAAAATACATAAGTTGCCCGTTAAACTTGTTCGGAAAAATCATTTACACACCTTAACTTTACGGGCGACCTATGCCCCCCTATTCTTGTTTGGAGTGAATTTAATACTCCATTGGTAACACATAGTCAGTCTTGTGGTGGGATGTGTAGTACACGCGCGCCACGTGTCAAAAGCTGCTTTATTTTTTTCCCACTTATTTCGTTACTTTTTCTTGAACTCTTTTTTTCCATGTCATCTTCATCATCGCCTACACTACCATGGAAGATCTAACACTTTCAGCTTTAAAAAGTAGGGGAAAATTCCTCGTCGAAAAACTAAAGCCGGCAAATCCCAAACTTTTTAGCCAGTTAAAATCCCGCAAGCTTCGGCAAAATTTATGTCCAAACAGAAAAGCACTTTCAAATTTCAATAAATTGTAACTTATCGATGGCTTCAAGGCGAGCTATTGATCCGTAGGCCATTCTATGCTCTTCCCTCTTTCAAAAGACCTTTTTGTGGGAAATATTTTACAAAAATCTCAAGCTCTTAATTTGACGCTAAGTAAACTAATCTGTATCATCTGATTTCAACATCTGCACTATTACTCCTTTAAGAAAAAAACCA